GGGGAGGGGGGGAGGGAGGGGAGGGAAGGAGGTGTCCACGAGGTACGCGGAAGGTAAACGTAGATACGCGGCGGGTTCGATTTGCGAAATGCTCGCGGTTTGACAGCTAGATTTGCACTGAGGAGCAACATCGGCCCAACAACTACGGCCGGACTTACGGGATGGGTCTGTTGGCGGGACGAGGGGGAAGATGGCTGCGTTTCATTGTACGCACACGATGGGCCACGATGGAGGGAGGGGGGAGCAGGAAGGGCGGCAGATCAATATTAGGGCGTAGACCGAAGGGTAAGGGCCGTCACCGCCTCTGGATACACACCCATGTGCGTGTGCACGTTGGAAGAATGCACGAGCGTTTCGAGCGATGCATCGGCACGATGCATCATCGATGACCGTTCGTTCGTTCGTTCGATCGTTCGTCCGTGGAATCCTTATCGAGCCGCGGCCCATTGTTCTCCTCGAGATATTTGCCGCTTCTTCCGGTCGACGATCGTCACAGAGAACGATTTGTAATCTATCCACGACGATCGTTCGGTGGTCGGCAACCGTGCTCTTCCCATCGCTTCGTTATCCGCTTGCTTTCCACTCTCCGTCTTTCTCAACTCGTCCGAATGAAAATAAAGGGAGAATCCTTAAAAGGGGCGGCCGTGGCGGAGTTTTGACGATTCGCAGGACGCGTCGTTTCGTAAATCGCGTTTATCGCGTCCCTCGCAACATTATGACGCAAGATGAAACGTATGCAACAACGTGTTCCACACACGACTTTTTGCGTAATCATTTTTATAAACAGTAGGGAAGGCGAGGTAAATGCCGATGCGCAATAAGTTTTGCGCGTGTGAAAAAATGTGCAATCGTGCGGCAGAGAAGGCAATCGAATCGATCGTCCAACTTTTTTCCCTTATAAACGTAATAAACCTCGACCCGATATCGTTAAACTAACGCGATACGCGTATAAATTAATTATTTATTTCCTCGCTCGTGAAATTTGAAATTTTCTTCGCGTGAATGCGCGCGAGAAATCTTTCCCTCCCTCTCTCCTTCTTTTTCTTGATATTCGCAATCTCGCTCGGCTCGAACGATGCATGGAACTAAAATAACGGGGAAAAAGTATTTGGAAACGAACGCTGAAAACGAAAATGTAAATACCTTGCTCGTATATCTTTAACGCGACGACAGTCCCGTAATTTATCGAATCGGGTACTACATCGCGAATATATCCTCTCGCGAGGAGAGGAAGAGCGAGAAAAGAGAGAAGGACGGGAGAAGAGAAGCTTAGACTTTCGATCGTCTCTTTTCCGAGCCCCTCGCCCGAAACCGCCGCTCTCCGTTTCCCTTCCCAAATCCAAGTTTTACGAGCGTGCCCAAAATTGTAACGCGATAAAGCGTTTTCGGTGCGAGGCGTCTCTTTTCCAGAGCGTGCGAGATATGGTTGATCCACGTAACGTAAAGCGAGATAACCGAAAGATAAGAATTAAACGAAAGCAAAAAGATGGAAAAGGGAAAAAAGTTGGTTGGCTTTCATCGCGTAAAATCAAAGTAAATGATCCGTACGATCGATGAGAAAAGCGAAATTCGTCGTGGCGTGAGAATCGAGAGAATCGCGTGTAATGGCAGGAAATGTTCCGCGTCGCGAGCATCTTGGATCGGATTCCAAAATCTCGAAGGAAAAGCAAGAATGGTTGTTTCTTTTTTTTTTTCTTTTTTTTTTTTTTTGTTAACAAACGAAACGTTCGAAACGATCGTTGGATAAAGTGGAGCAACGAGTGGGGACGACCACGATTTTATGTTACACGAAACGAAGAGAGTAGAGGCGTTTCTGTTCCTCCTAGCTAAATCCATATGTTGGGACATATGTTGTTAGGGATACGCTACCCTGACCTGCACCAGCGACAAGAGCGAGAAAGGGAGCCTACACGAATGTCTAAAAATAGGGGTGCCCCGAGCTAAGGGATTAATGGCCACGCCATGGTTGTAATTTTAAACACCTCGGCAAACGTCGCTAATCCAATCTGCCGGCTTATAAAACTCCCTGCTCTTTAAGCAGACCAACAATCAAAGAGGGAGGGGGTCATCGAAATGACCAGCAGATATTTCATAATAAATCTCACTCAACTCGGCCGATCGTGCTCGTGTGCGTAGATCGATATTGTAGGTACGTATACACGAACGTGAATGCTCCTTTAGGGACGGAGTGATTTTCAACGAAACGGAATGGAATAATACATGGATTGATCGTTTCGATGATTTTATTCGTCGAGCTTTTCAAGTATTATTTTCTTTACCAAGAATTATCCTTGATACGTGCGCAGATGCATAGATATATGTACGTCAACGATAAATTTGTTTTCTAATGCGCGATAAAGATAATCTCTAATCTAAAGTGTGAACAAACATTGAACGTAGCTCACCCTTTCGTTGATCCTCGCTGTCCGAATGAAGCTCGACGTCGTGCAGCCTCATCGATTGCACGAATCCTCTCCAATGGCTTCGCGATCTCCTTCTCTCGTGCAAATCTGACTTCAAGTCTTCCATTTGCCGATCGCACTCCTTCAACAATCCGTCCAGAATATCCGGCCTGTCCAACTCCTTCGTCGTTCTCACTCTCGACTTTTCTTCGATTGTTGGATCGCCGTTATTATTCGAACAATCGTCGTCGTCGTTCGACGACGTCTCAATTTCTTTCGCCGTGCTCCTCGTATTCTCCCCGATATCGTTATCCTTCTTCTCGTCCACGATAGTTTTATCCGTCGTCTTTTCACAGCCGCGTCTGTTCCTCGATTCTTCTTTCCTCTTACGAATAGGAGGTTGCGGATGTATCTCCTCCGACCCTGCGACACTTTTCCCTTTCTCGGATCCTCGCTCGAGATCCACGCCGCTCTTCTGCGAACACGCCTTACTCGACGCGCTTTTACCGTTCGCGCATTTACCAACCTTGGACGCGTTCCTCGGATTGTTGTAACGATCCTTCAACGACTCCCGATTACCTCGAGACGCCTCCAACAATTTTTGAGCGAGCAATCTCGTTTTATTAATTTCCCCCCCGGATCTCTTCTCGCACTCGTTGTTCCTCTTCTCGTTCGAACATTTCACCACCGTTCTTGGAGAGTTGTCGGGGCTTTGAAACATCTGTTGTATCTTGAAGATATCCGATCGAATCTTGGCCGAGCTCGAGATCTCCGATTTTTTATTGGACGCGACCACGGAAGATCTCGCCTCGTTCTTCGAGGCGATCCCTCTCTGATACCTCTGAGCCGGGGGCGTGTTCCTCAATCTCTCGAGATCCTTCAAGTCGGCCAGCATCGAGCTCGCCGCCCTCGACGATCTACCGGTCGCCCCTTCGATCGCGATTGTCCTCGGCCGATCCTTCTCCATCCGGCCGATCTTCTCCATAGGTATCAGTGACGGATCGACGAACACCGTATCTCGTATCTGACTAATGTTCCGCAGCCTTGGCGCCCCGACCTTGAGCCCGGTCGTCCTCATAATCACCCTCTCCATCGACTCCGTCTCTCTCTCGTTTCGGGACAAACGTCTTTCATCGATCAATTTGGCTCGATGAACGTCGATTGCTGGCACAAACGGGCCGTGATACACCGGGCTATTAACGGAGGAAACTGGTCGTGAATTGGGATTGCTCGGCCTGCTGCTTCTCAGCGGTGACATCCTGACCAGCCTCGGCGCATCCCTGGGATCGTCCGTCTGTAAACTGCCTCTGTACACCATCCTTCTCGCCGCTTCCTCTTTTCACCTATCGATCCTCCTTCTCTTTTCCCGATCGTTTAACCACCATTTCTCGCCTCCTCCATCCTGAAAACCAAATACTCCCATTAATAGAAATAGAAGAAATTACAGATAATTTCTTCGTATATTTTATCGTATATTTAAAGCGGTGGATCAACGAGCGCTTCTTCATTTCCGTTCCACGCGATCGAGCGTGCTCACCGTTGATAATTTATCCTCCGAGCAATTTCCCTCCTGTTAACGGAAATCGGATAACTTCTCGATCGGAGGAATCGCGATCCAGAGCGTTTAACACGTTTCCTGCACGGTGAGCATCGCGCAACTGTTAATCGGCGTAAATTACAATCAAGAGGGAGACCGCCGCCAAGGCTCCTGCCCAAGAAGTCGGTGGGTAGTCGCCATGTAGGCAGCGGTGACCCGGCCATCTTGCGACATCTACGCGCGAAGGCACGTAGGTGTAGCGCGCTAATCGACACGACAATCCTTCGTCGTCGTCGTCTCGTTTCAACTGTATTTTAATCGGTCTTTAAGTTCTCGTTGCATTCTAATTAAACGCGAGATGGGTTGTCGGGGGTGACGACGGCCGTAAATGGACGCCGAGATCGATCATATGGAACGGTCGCCGCGTTCCTTCCATTCTGTCAGGATCGCAAGCCAACGCTTCGAATTGTTATGCCGCTGATATCGTTCGATCCGTTATGTAACGCCTCGCGTTTTGTCTTACCTTCGATCGCTATCGAGCGGCAAGATCGTCGTCGAAGAATTATCGGCATACCTCGGATATACCTATTTACGTATCGCTCGTAAATCTTGCGATCGCACTAGTTACACGTCGTCGTATCGGTGAGTTTTTTGCGGTTCGTCATTGCGGGCAAACGAGTTGTAGTAGCGTCGCTTGGCTCGTGTCTTCGATCGTAACTTGCCTCGTCCACTCGATCGCAAACGATATCGTATTTTTAGTTCGAGTACGTTCGAAACGACGTACGCGCGTTACCACGCGTGTACAGGTTTTTGCGGTTCGATACTGCGGAGATGCATCCGTGCATTATACGATGCGGTGACGTCGGAAATGTCGCGAGAGAGAAATAACATTCTCCGACGTTCGATAGGCTTTTGCGGCTTTTTCCAATTTTTCCACGAGAGAAATCGTTCTTTTTTTTTTTTTTAAAGAGACCGCCGTTTCCACGCGAAAAGGTTTTTCCGGTTAGAAGAGTTAGTCTCACGAAACGCATCACGCAACAACGGCCTCCTCTATGTAATTTCGATTCGTACGTAAAGGCTTCCTTCCCCATTGCAAAGGAATTTGCAATTTCGTTCACGGTAACTTATTACGAGCATTGTTTATTCGTCAATTAGTCACGGTAGACGGGATATTCTCGAACAAAATTTTTACATCGTTTTTCCATTTAACCACCTAAACTATCTTTCCAAGCAAGTCCGAAAGATAAGTCGTCGATAAGTCTCGGTTCGATCGACGCTTTATCGTTCGTGTTTCCGTTCCGATCGAGCGACAATCGTGCGCAATGTAAGGACACACCGCGACGAAAGGAAATCAATCGTAATTTACGTACCGTTTCCTTCGCGGACAACGTTTCCACTGGATGCTCGTTAAGCGCACGATTCGCCACGATGCGACAGCCCCGAGTTCTGGTAACCCGGCCGCCTTCTCGATTTCTCGACTCGATTGCACCGAGAATCTCTCTCCGTTTGTCCTTCTTCTTCGTCACGTACAATTTCTAATCACGGAAATTATTCTCCCCTCTCTCCCGTGCCCGGTCTCTCGTTACCTCTGCAATAAAAAGGTTCATGCATTTTCCATTAAAAGAATGGCGCCGCTTTATTTCTCCACGGCACACGCATCCGTTCCTTCTCTCTCTCTCTCTCTCTCTCTCTCTCTCTTCCCTTCTTCCACGCGTTTTATCAGCCTTTCCTCGACATTCTTAGATCCAGCCAGAAGGCTGCCATCTCTCAACGTGGCGAGCCGGAAACGATAGGGTATTATATTTATTTCCATAGCAGTGGCATGCGGTTGTTCGCCACTGTTGTTCTTACGCAACGCTTTCCTTCTAACGTTTCTAACGTTTTTCATTGTCAATTAGTGATTAATTGGACGTGAATCGAGCGAGGCGGGCTCCACAGCCCGGATAAACCGTAATTGCACGCTCGTCTTCCACGTAACCCTTCGTGCTTTCGCCGTGCTTTATCACCGAGATCGCTCGGTATACATATTTATGTTGAGAACTTAGCGGATCCGCTTCCTTTAAAACTAGTGACAGCCATCCACGGTAAAACTAGACCGATCCCATGTAAGAGGATGAGAACCGAGCAGCGGAAATATTCTATTTTTACGCGTTACGGTTGATAAAAAGTTTCAAGGCTAACCTCCGTCGGGGTGAAAATATCGACCATCCTCGTACAATCGGGTTGAATTTAAAACGAGTTATTAATTTTACGAGGCATAAATCATTTCTCGTTAACGAATTGGAAAAGTGCAATTTCTTTTTTTCGCCCAACCCTTTCTACCTCACCGATCTTTAAATCGAATCGCTTCCAAATCGAACTCACCCGAAGTTTTGTTTTACGATCCCAGAGTAAGAAGAGAAACAGCTGCACGCATCCTCGATAGCACCACCTCTCCTCCTTTCCTTTCCTCTTC